CCTTGTATTGGGTAGGAAGGGTTTGTGTGTGTGTGTGTGGGAGAGAGAGAGAGAGAGAGAGAGAGAGAGAGAGAGAGAGAGAGAGATCCCTGACCCATAAACACTTGGGAAGCACTAGGAAAAAACACAAGATGTTACTGTAGGACTTCTCTAAACTTTTAATGTGCAAATATGCAGAATTCTCCAACAGGATCAAAGAACACACCATGCTCCCTGCTTAAAATCTGCCTGCTGCTTTTCTAGGTCCTCCCTGGACCTGCTGCAGAAATTCAACTCCAATAATAAGCTGGCCACACTCAGCACTAACTGAGGAGCACTAACTCGCCGAGGGAGGAACAGTTATTTCTCCAAGTAGAAAAGGACTCACTCCTTTATACTCAGGGCTGTGGGGCACAGGACTTCCAGAACATGTCCTTGGTGTTGTGACTCAGCAGCTTTTCCCAGCAGCTCTGTGCAGAAGGGCCTGATTTTGAAGGTTCTGTTTTGGTTTTGTTTCTTGAGTGGTGACAGGGAGCGAACCCAGGGCCTTGTGCATGGTAGGCAAGCACTCTAGCATTGAGCTTGTGTGGCCTTGTATACCACAGACTGGGAGGAATGTTCCATGGAGCCCCTCCTGAGATGGCCTCCTGCATCTTGATTTCTTTGAACTGGTAACTTGTGCTTTGAACTTTTGTCCCTTCTGAGGTGGAATCTTGGGCTCTAAATTTATATATGGATGGCATTTGGGGGTGGGGTCTTTAATTAGGATTAAATGTGGTCCTGAGGGTGGGACCCCATGATGGTATGGTAGCTTTATAAGAAGAGGAAGAAGCTGGGTCTGGTGGGACAGGCCTGTAGTCCCAGTTACTCAGGAGGCTGAGGCACAAGGATCTCAAGTTTAAGGTCTACCTAGACTACAGAGTGAGTTCAAGGCCAGTGTGGGCAGCTAAGTGAGACCTTATCTCAAAATAAAACATAAAAAGAATTCAGGGGGGCTGGAGAGATGGCTCAGCGGTTTAGAACACTGCTTGTTCTTGCAGAAGACCCGGGTTTGAATCCCAGCACCCATATGGCAGCTAACAACTATCGGTAACTCCTCTTCTGACCTCCATGGGCAGTGCACGACACGGGTGCACTTACCTACATGCAGGCAATACACACATATACATAAAATAAAAATAATAAAGAAAATATAAAAAAAAATTCTTAGGCCAGGCGTGGTGGCACATGCCTTTAATTCCAGCACTTGGGAGGCAGAGGCAGGCGGATCTCTGTGAGTTCAAGGCCAGCCTGGT